TGTGTGTGTGTGTGTGTGTGTGTGTGTGTGTGTGTGTGTGTGTGTGTGTGTGTGAAGCCACTGAGAGGTAGCTAGGTCCCTGTGGGAGGTGGCTTCAGAGGCCTCCTTGGCAGGGCAGAGAGAAAGTGTTTACAGGAGAAACCTCCAAGGGTTGAAGTAACTTACCATCTCCCTATAATTCCTCCTCCTCATCATCATCATCTATCAAACAACTTACAGTTTATTGACGACCCAGAAAACTGCAAGTACACTAAACATAGTCTATTCCTGGCACCCTGGACACTGGAGGCCGGAGCCTGGCTGGAGCTGAAAGGAAGTCGCCCTGAGACAGCAGTCAAGGTGGGGTTCAGGTGTGCCGAGCACCTCTGCTCACTGGCCTTCATTTCCTGTTACCTGTGACTCACCAACACCACCTCTTCTCCCTCCCCCTTCCCCACGCCTTGGGCTGTGAAATGGGCACCCTCCAGAGTAGCTGCTCCCCAGCCCTCTCCATGCAGGGCAGGGACCACATCACCCATCTGTGCCCACCAGTTTCTCTCCCGCCTATACCACACCCTGACAGCTGCCTTTCAAATTTGGGGGCCAGAAGCTTAGCAAAACTCTTTGGGCCAGATGTTGGAAATATGCTTGTCTCGCTCCCAGAGCTTGAGATTGGGTTCTGGAAGTAATGTTTCTGAACGACAGCAACAAGATAAAAAACCTCTTACCCAGAAGTCTCCATCATGGTGTTCGCTTCCATGTAAAGACAGAAAGAAAAAGGAAAGGATGTTATAGACAGGACCATGTGACCTATAGTAGGAAAATGAACTGTGTGTTTGGGGTTTCGTAGCTGTTTTTATGATTGCTTTTTTTTTTTAAGTAGAAGTTAACACATTGCAAAGTTCAAGGTATAAAACACCGAGCAAAGGAGTACCAAGACAGTCAAACATAAAGACGGAGTCTCATCGGTCCCCTCCCTCCGTACACCCCCAATTCTCCCGGCACTCTGAGCCTCTGCACCCCCCACAGGACAGATGTTTCGGCCTGGGGATTCATCTTGGCCTTCCAGCACTCTCGGGGGCCTCTGGGAAAGGTGCAGGATGGGGTTGCACCGTTTATTTGCAGCGTGCCTCTCCCTCTTCTCAATACTTGCAGCCAGGAGCTGAGCAGCTTTCGGCGGAGAGAGAAGAATGTGTAATGTAATATTAATCTCGGCCCCTCGTGTGTCTCTGGGGCCCTGCAAGGCTACCTCACAGGAGGAATATACCGAGACTTCCACCGGACAGGTAAAACCAAATCCTAGCTCTAAAGTGTGAAGCAAATGAATAAAAGACGAAGAGATTCTGTGCTTTGTTAATGTTTACGAGAAAGCGGAGGAGAAAGCCAACACTGGAATCAGTTAAGATGACTTGTAAAATCAATGTGCGCAGGGAGAGGAGAGGGTCGGGGAGAGGTAGGGGGGAAGAGATGGGGGGAGGGAGAGGCAGGGAGATTGATTTTCCTTAGGCGGCTAGCTCACGGAGGGGAGAGGAGGAAGTACCCTAAGAGAGCCTCTGGGAGAAGTCGGGGCTCCCTGGCCTCTGCAGCCTGTGACTAAACAGCCTGGTTGACTTCATGCACAACAAGCCTAAACAACACAAGGAGACGGGCTCGTTCCCACAACTCGGTGAAACCTGGCAGGGAAGGGGAATGACAATTTACCAAATTAGTCTAATGGATGTCCAAGTTCTAGACATCAGTCTCCGGGAACGGACGGCACAATTACCTTTCCTGTCACGGAAGCCAAGGTAGTGTGAGTAGCTACTGCTTGAAAGAGAGGAAATAAAAGTCTTTGGTTCATTTCTCATGATCAGGCTTGCCTTTAATAACAAAGAATTTCCCAATATTCCTAAAGCTGTATATTAAGATGTAATGCTGTGTTGAAAATTTGATTTTTCCGTTTTAAGGGCGGATGAGGAATGGAATGAGGCACCTGTATGGAACTTAACTGTCATCCCAGTGTCCCAGGTCATGTTCCAGGGTCACCAGTCTGAGGCTCTGAGGACCAATAATCTAACCTTTCTTAACCTTCCCCTATACACACAGCTTAACTCTCGGCTGACAGTCGGACAGCCCTGCAGGGCAAAGGGGGTGCACATTGTGTGGGACACCCTCATAAGGATGGGACACCCTCATAACGATGGTCCTCCGTTCTGGAGAGACACTGGTGCCTCTCACAAAAATCACAGTCACTTCAGACAAAACCAGCCACAGCCACACTCCTGCCAGACAACACACACACACACACACACACACACACACACACACACACAGAGAGAGAGAGAGAGAGAGAGAGAGAGAGAGAGAGAGAGAGAGAGAGAGTCTTTATTTAGCAAAGAATTGCTCTACCTGAGCACTGAGCAAGGAAGGGCCAGAAACATGGAACCACACAAAAGCATCCAGAAATGGGTAAGGGTGAGTGTGACCTTTGCCCTGTCAGTCTTTTGGAGGTACTGGTTTGGGGGGCCCTCAGAAACAGCACCCCCACCCCCCATCTGGTCCTCTTTTCTTGTCCCCAAACATCAACCACTTTGCACAAAGCTGTTTCCCACAGGTTTCCACTTCATGCCCACCAATAGCCCCAGAAAACGGCAATCAATCAGTGGCCGTGGGGCACGGACCGAATACAAGCAAAGCGGGCCACAGGCTCTCCTGGCAGGCAGGACCTAGGAAGGAAACTGTGGTCTGCAGGGGGGTGGGGTGGGGTGGGGGACTCGATGGGGATAGAAGACATAGTGCTGTGGTCAAGGGAAATGCTCAACCCCCAGTGAGCTGTCTCAAAGGGCTGCACATACCAGCCCTGAGGACAGGGGTGACCAGGGCTACCATTTACCTTACAGGCTGGGGCCCTCGCCAGACAAGGACAATCATCACTTTGGACCTACCTTCCTCCCTAGAATGAATAGGAGCGTTCAGACTTCGCTCATGCGTCTGCCCCGTTCCTCACTCTGAGGCGGCCAAAGGAGGCACTAACAAGAGGCACTTGGCAGCAAATGCCTGTGTGATCCCAGAGCTGAGGAGGTGGAAACAGGAGGAATTTGCGTTCAAGACCAGCCCCGGCCGCACACCAAGAGACTGAGACCCTGCCTCAGAAAGCCAAGACACTCAACACTTGGAGATAAACTAAAAGTTTCCTCTTCAGAAATGGCCTTGGGGTGCCTGCCCTATTCTTTGATAAAGGGCTACTGGGCAAGAATATCTAGTATTCCTGAACCTCATCCCACAGGAAGGAACCCAGTCCCAAGAAATTCGGCCACCAGGCTGCTGGAGTGTTTGCTGCTTAGGGGTGTGTGTGTGTGTGTGTGTGTGTGTGTGTGTGTGTGTGTGTGTGTGTGTGTGTGTGTGTGTGTGTGTAAAAAAAAAAAAAAAAACACACCTTTAAATACGGGTTTCCCAGAAGAAATTCTGCTCCCCCAGGGTTCAGAATCTGCAGCGCCCAATTTGCAGGTCCTCACCCCCCAGGAGGAGATAAACAATGAGCTAATTACATTTTTATCTTTCTAATTACCTAAGGATTTGTGTGAATGGGAGACGCAGGGGGATATGCAAGGATGGTGGACAAGAGATTTTTGCATCCCCTAGATTTGCTAAATTCGACGTTGTTGCCGGAATTCAGAGGCATAGAAACCGAAGTGGCTCTTTCTAAACTTCTTTCCCTCGGCCAATTCCGCAACACGACTGAAAGATAAACTAAGGAGAGGGCATGTTTTGTTGCTGTTTGTTTTGCTTTTAGAAAAAAAAAATACTTTCAAACTTATGAAAATAAACAAAGCTTTTCCTCAGTCTGAGTTTTTTGCAGTTTGAGCGAGTTGTTTTCTTAGGGAGCAGTCTGTTTCGGATGTTAAGAGCTTTGGATGGGCACCCTCCTCTTGAAAACCTAGGCTTAGCTTTGTTTCAGGTATGAAAGACGCCAGACTGGAGCCCAGGAAGAACAGCTCCAGGGCCCCCTCTCCCCACCGCCCGGGCCGAGGCTCCCCCAGCAATCTCGGGGCACCTGGGGCAGGAGAAGCACCAAGTGACTCCTGGGCCTCCTAGAAGCTTTCGGGACCAGGTCTGCACACCTTGCAGGCTCCGGTGCGCGGCTCCCCGGCTTGCCCCGCTTGCAGCCCCGGGGCCAGTGCGGCTGGGCACAGGAGCTCGCGGGCGTGGGAAGGAGCACCCTTACCTTGGGGCTTCGAGGCTTCGGTGGCATTGGGCGGGGTCATGGCGATGCAGACGTCGCCCTCAGGGAACTTGTCACACTTGAGCATCTCGGGCCAGTAGAAGCCGAAGAACTGCATGACCGGCTCGCACGAGTCGCGCACGGCCTCGCAGAGCCAGCGGCACGGGTAGATGGGCCGGTCCAGACAGACGGGCGCGAAGAGCGAGCAGAGGAAGACCTGGGTGCCCATGTGGCAGTTCTTGTTGAGCAGCGGCACCCAGCTGCTGGCCTGCTGCTTCACCTCTGCCATGGTCTCGTGCTCCAGCAGGTTGGGCAGCACCATCTTCTTGTAGCCCACGTTGTGGCACAGCCTGAGGTCCACCGGGATGTCCACGCACTGCGGAGGCTTGGTGTAGAAGCGGCCGCTCTGGTACGAGCCGATGTCCGACTGGAAGCTCACGTAGTCGTACTCGCTGGCCGAACCCGCGGCCAGCAGCGCGGCCACCAGAGCCAGCAGCACGCCCGAGGCGGCCCCA